CCCTCCTAGTGATCCTAATTTTCTTGTTCAAGCTGTCACAGTCTAGGCTACAACCCTCCATCTTTGCTTCGGAGCTAAGAAGCATGGAAACGGACACGGACACAGGACATGGATACGACACGACACGGACACAAACACACGACATTTCTCAAAAAGTAGGACACAGACACGTTGGAGACACGTTACAAAAACTTATATTTTTATATAACATTATATAATTTATTACAAATATAGTGATAATGATATACAATTCATAAAAGATTTAGTATTTTATGATAAGTAAATCTTATGTCTACTCATCTATGTGAATTTTTAGAATAAAGCATCCTATTAATAGTCAATAATCATTAATTTTTTTTTGTAAACAATGTGTATTGAATATATAATTTAAATAATTGCTCTCATTTTCTCATTACTCTTTTTTAAAACTTTTATGCATATTTTGTTTTTATTATTATTTTTGGAGTACAACTTTAATATGTCTAGTGTTGGTAATTATATTTTCTCAAATTTTTAAGCTTTGTTAATCACATTTCAACAGATGTTTATTGTTTAGTAGTAGACAAGCTCTAAAGAAGTATCAAACACGTCATAAAAGAAGTGTCAAACCCGTGTCCGAAATTAAAATTTTATCATTTGATTATGGACACGAATAAAAGAGTATTGAACACGTGTCCAAGAGTGTCTGAAGAGTGTCGGTGTCCGACACGGATACGTCACCTTCTCGAGAGGGTCCGTGCTTCATAGTTCGGAGAGGCCACATCACCACTTGCTGCTCTGCCAAAGTTTTTAACTGGCACTGACACTCAATCTGGCAACTGATGCACCAGCAATCTAACTTCACTAATACACAAGGTTGTCCACTACAAAGAGCCAATCCAGCACTAAACGCCCCAGTTCTGACCACCAGTTGAACCACTTCCACTGCATCCATGTTAATCAAATCAACTGTATTGCTTCAAACGGATGCATATAACACAACTGAAGTAGGAGCCCAAAATAGTCAGCCATTCTTTTTATCACTCCTGAACACCCTACTCTAAACAACCATGCATCCAGCAAAAGGAAAGCTTCCCCATCTATCGATTGCCCTCCATCATAAATGGAATAGCCTCTGCCTGCAATGGACGACAAAAAAGCAACAGCAACTAGCATACATGTGGATGCCCTCATTCTAATCAAAAGCCATAGCAACCAAGCTGCCCATTCTGCCACAGTCAAGACCTAATCCACAGGTCTATTACTAAGTATCATGGAAAGAAGAACTCAAAAAATCCCTCTTCTTCTCAATATCTTCTGGTGAGACTGAGCAAAACATGCCTTCTTGAGTTAATTAACCAAAACATCCACCGGATAGAGGTAGCAATTACAACCACCTCCCAATTGAAGAAGCCATACCTGTACAAGAATGTTGTTCCAACTCTAAACTTATATTCTAGGAATGGTTCCTTTAACAATGTCAACACATTCTTGCCATATTATTTAAGTTCAATAAGTCTCAATAAAAAATAGAACTTATTAGATCTACGTGTCTGATCATTGAACTGGGATGATGCTTGGAGGCTGTTGAAGGAGACTCGGTATTGTATCTGAAAGTTTAGGGAGAAATAAACATGGAGATATGTGCTGCAAGGAAATAAATTATGGGAAGAGTCATAGAAGCTAAATTTGAGAATGAATGGGTCTACTAGCTGGACAGGCTTCTTAATGGGGTGGGAGTCTGAAAAGGAGTTGGGATGTTCATGGGAAGACTTTTCTAAGCATGTGAAGTTTGTGATGGGAGTAGGCCCGGCAAGATTTTTGGACATACCAGTGGAATGAGCAATCTAACTGCGAGCGATTGCCTGACTTATATAGTAATCAAATCCAACAAGGGAGCTCTATCGAAGAGTATCTCCATTTCTTGGAAAGGAGAGTACAATAGGAGCCGTTTCTTAGAGATATGCATGATTGGGAGCTGGAAACGGTGGCTACTTCCTTCAAATTTCTCTATAGACCTAATATTCGTGCAAAATAGGGAGTATGCAATGGAAGACACTGCAAACACCATGGTTAGTGTTAAACCCTTCTCCGTGGAGTTGTGGGGTGAGGAGATCAGAATTCCCTTGGAGGAGCACTTAGCAAGTAAGAGGTCCTTCCCGGCCTTCACTTTTGTGAGGAGAGCAGCTTTGGAAGACATCTTAACCATTGAAAATTTGGGCAGAATTCGTATTGTATTAGCAAAGAGGTAGCACAGACTGAATCATCTTCTACTGCAGTGTGAGGTTGCCAGAGATCTCTGGGATGGTCTCTTTTCCACATTTGGGATGCAATTTGTTCTACCTGTTTTCATGCTCTGGCTCCGATCTATTTAGATGCTGAAGCCTGCTTGTGTTAATTCCATAGAGAGAGAGAGAGAATCATTCTTTATTCTTTCCAACAATGATTCTCAGGAGAATTTTCCAAGTCTGTTTAAGCTTTCATAGATTTTACATGTGATTTGAGTTATGGTTAGGAATGTTTTAGCATTTGTATACAAAGGATTTAGAGTTTAGGAAGAGCAACATTTCTAGTCCCTGGCCAGACAAAAACCATATGAACCCAAATATAGACACAAACAACAAATTGTGCTCCAAATCTACAATCCGCAATCAAAGGGTTTTCCTTAGTGGCGACCGAAGTAGTATCAAAGTCCCCACCCCAGAAGGGTGAGGCATGCCATTCGACTGACTTTCTTCTTAGACCGTCCCTCAACTAAGAATGGTTACTGGACAAGAAAGAGAAAACTGATTTCCATCAGTCTCTATCTCTAGCTCCAGATATCATTATACAAAGAATATTTACAGCTTGCTCAAACGACAGATATCCATCACTGAAGATAAACATTTTTGACTCAAATGCACTAGCCTACAACTTCCTCTGTGAAAACACAACTAACCAACAGCTATCAAGTAAGCAGTTGAGTATTTCAAAATTCATATGGCTGAAGTTATGATTATTGTAATCCAGGGTAACATGAAAACATTCTGAATTCATATCAGAAAATTGTTTAGATCAAAACAAACTGCAGTAAAGTGTCTCCAGGGCATATTTATTCTGAGCATATACTCTTTGCTAATAATGCACTCAGAAGTCAAAGAAGGATTTTAATCTTTATAAAAGCATTACCTTTGAAAATGACTTGCACAAAGCAGCAAATTTTGATGTATCATTTGACGAGATTAAAGCAATGCTACATCCATCAGAAGAGGCTCTAGCAGTTCTTCCACTTCTATGAACATAGACCTAGCAAAATTAATACCTTCAGCATCAGTTCAAACTCTACCAGATGCACAGAGAAAAGAAAGAGGACTAATATCAACTTACTTCTGCTGAATGTGGAAGTTGGTAGTGAACAACAGTTCGGACACCAGGAATATCGAGGCCTCTTGCAGCAACATCAGTGGCAACAAGTATACCATGCTCATTTGTGCGAAAACGATCAACTGCCTACATAGCAGACAGAAATTATACCAATAAGCAATAGATACATGGAAGAACCAAAAGAAAACTTGATTTATATTTTCAACAAGACAACCAAGTACTCCCACAAAGTAATCAAATATGTCAGGCTTAAGCTAATTCTTCCTTCTCCTGTCCTTCAATTTCTGTTCTTTCTTTTTTTAGGGGGAGGAGGAGGAGAGAGGGGAATCATGCCCCTACTCCTTCCTATGAAAATTAAGTGAGTCTCAAACATGCAATTGGCATTTATGTATAGCAATGTATGTAACACAAAAAACAACTAACTAAATCGCTATCTTTAGAAGCAAAAATAAGGCAACAGTCAACACCATCCTAACATCCAATCGCATTCATTATAGTTTTCAAAGGGTTATTTGGTAGACAAGGTAAATATTTATTATTCAACTCCCAGCAAGGGAAATGCTTCTCTTTACTAGTGAACCTATGAAACTAGCAATCCACTTTTGGGTTCATTTAAAAAAGGTTATTCCACGGATACGCCCTGAATTATTCCAAAAAAAGGCCACAGCCTAACAATTTGAATAAGACAGTCGGCAATTGTAATTCAAAAATGAATCATTCATACATCAAAATCCTGGTCAAAATTGACAAAAATATGATCAACGCGCGCGCGCGAGAGAAAGAGAGAGAGAGAGAGAGTGATCTGTCCCACCACATACCCATGACCTGCCCCCAAAACAACTTCTTTTGACTTGATAGAGTTAAAAAGGATTTGAATGATCTTAAATTGAAATTTTGAATTTTATTATTTGTTTTAGTATTACTATGTTAATTAGGGAAAATATTTTTGACTAGTAGTATTAGTTAGAGTTTGACTAAGAAATTGTTATAGAGTTTTAGTAGGATAGTATTTTAAAAATTAGATTATCAAACTCTTTAGAATTTTAGTACAAGAATAATTCTGATTTTGGAAAAAGACAGCCTACAAATATTAGTGTAATCCCAACTATTTCATTGTAGAGAGTGATATTAATAAAAGTGTTTCTTTGTGGAGAATTTGTGTTTTTTGACCAATTCCTAAAATATCCCCCCCCCGGCACAGTAACCCTACTCACCACGCAATCTCCTCAACCTCTCTCTCTCCATCCCTCATACACCTCTACACACTCTCTCTCACAAGCAAACAATGTTCCTTGTCTCCATCTAAGCATTGTGCAAATGCCTAAAACACAACCAAGTTCTCCCACTCATTTATACGGATTTCATTATGAAAGTCCAAGTAGGTTTGTGAGTGTTTGAGATTATGGCGCTGGTGGTGTGTGTGTCATGGCGGCCCGAATCTAGCTTTGTACGTGTATAGTGGTGGTGATGGGGGTGGTGGTCCAATCAAGTCCAAATCTAGTTTAATTATGTCTAAATGTAATTCAATCCATCTGGGTCTCCTATCTCCCTCTAATATGGTTGTGTGTGTGTGTGCGTTCGTGGTGATGGCCCGAGTCTAATTTAAGAGAACCAGAGTTCAGTATGTGTGTGGTTGGTCTTGGTTTGTGGTGGACTTTGTAAGATTTCTTGTAATTGGATATAATATAATAGGATTGCGGGGCAGTGTTAGAGGTGGTGGTGCACCTGTAATCAGATGTATATTACAAATACAATATTAGGAAGTAATATTCCGGAATGTTTAGCACCAACAAAATATACTACCTACCCTAATGGGAAACTTCAAAATTAACCAATCACTCGCTTGAAGTTGGTACCAAAACTAGCCAGCTTTCTAGCCAGAAAATTTCACAGAGACAGATCATAAAGTGACATGGACAGCATTTATCGCACGCAGATCACATGGCCTACTTGTCTTTCATTGTCTTGGCCTCCATGACCTTTTTTTACAATCATCAGTTTCAGGTTGCTTATAGTGTCAACATCCTCCCTTAAAAAATCTCTCTTTCCATTGGCCAACATAGCCCGAAAAGAGTTGGGCTCTGTTCTTTCAGTCACGGGGAAAACAAAAGTGGTAAGATACTCATTCCCGAAGAGTTTGTTTGGTTAGGAAGAAAAAGAATGATGGAAAGTAAAAGAAAAGAAATTTGCTTTCATGCAGGTATTTGGTTACCATGAAAATTTTGGAAAGTTACAAGAAAATCTTCCTCAAATTACTCTAAACTACATAAAACCTAACTAATGGCTGACGAACTGAATATTTTAGGAAAAAGATGGGTAAAATTATTGATTCTAGATCACTACTTTCCTGTCTTTTCTTGCATTTTTTGCAAGACAGGAAGTTTGTTATTTGTGGGAACATTATTTTGTCAATTGTTTAGCATGATTGAAAATTTAAAAATATTCTATTTCTAGCATTTTCTAGTATTCTCCATCTAGCCAAATGTACCCCAAGGGAAAACTTTAAAAATTAATGAATCAATACAGAATAATCGCAATCCATTTACCTACGAAATCTGCACCCACAAATTAACCTAGCAGAACTAGTAAGAATATGTGCCACAAATTACAGTTGAAGAGAAGTTTCACTTGCTTAAATTTGGCACTAAGGAGCAAATGAAATTCAGCAGCAAAATTAGCCAGCTTCTCGCCACAAATTTCTTGTAGACAGATCATAAAGTAACAAACAAAAAGACATTAATAAAATCTGTTGAAGGTTTGATTACTGATAGACAAACTTAACTGCATCTGTCATGACCAAAGCTGCATACATCCTAAATAAAATACCTAATGCTCAAGCATGTAAGTGAGAAACTAGAATAGCGCAACATAAAATTGTAGAACCTTCTCGTACGCAAAGATGTAAGGTGTGTCCAAATGACCCCACAGATAAAAAAATGAAACACAAATGACGGAGAAACAAATATGGAAAACAAACCTTCAAGCGTGCTCGCTGCTGCATCTGGGCATGAAGAGTCCAAACATTAATGCTGAGAATGCGCAAGAGAGCAGAAATATGTCGTAAAGATGCAATTGATGTACAAAAGACAATTGTGCGGCCTTGTCCATGAACACTTAGAATGTAATACAAATAGGCATCTTTATCTTCTTCCCTGCATCTGCAACACATTTTGAACTAGTATTATCTCTGCAGGCAGTCATTAACATCACAACAAAGTATTTAGGGGTGAAAATGGGTTGATCTAAACAAAGTTTCAGTGTGCTTAGGCTCAGCTCGAAGAGTGACTTATGTTGATTGAGCTAGCCTTGAGCTGGAGTAAAATCACAATATCACAAATCCACCGATCAAGCTGAGCTTGAGAAGAAAACCGAGCTGCTTGAAACAGCTCAGCTTAAAGCAACTCCATATCATAGGTAATGGTTTCTGAAATTTCCAGGTGGTTTCATATATTATGATGTTTCAAAATAGGTTATAGCTTAGCCAGAACAATACATATTAACACCCTTTTACATTATCCTTTTTTCTTGAATTGTTATAGCATTACAGATCACAAAAATAATAAAACAAGCATTCTGTACTTTTTAACATTGCATGAAAATATGAATGATTAAAGGTTAAACCGTTAAAAGCAAACAAAACTACCGTGGATAAGAGAGTGCATAAAAATTCTTATTAAACCCAAATAACAAGCCTAGCCAAGCCAGGTATGGCAATGATCAGGCCCGGCTCTATAGACGGAGGGAGAGGGTCGAGCAGGGGTGTCCCCAGAATTGGCCAAGAAACGACCTAGTACTTCTGCAGTAGTACTTTCCTAAGTAATACAGTTGCCTGCCTGGAAGTCATTGCCCCTCTAAAGTTGTTGCTGCCTATAATCATCTACCACTCCCCAATAGTATCCTGGTAGAACATGCCCACCTACATAGTTTCCTCAGGTACAAACTTTATTTTTTTTTTTTTTTTTTTTTTTTGAGATTATAGCATATACACCTAAAAATCAAAGAAAGCTACTTTTATTGACAAAGGCTAATGACGAGGCAAACTTTTACCATTTCCTAAAGAGAGTGAAATTCTTATCAACCTTGTTCATCTTTAAATCCTAGACTTGAGCTTCGCATGTTGAATAGGTTAAAGTTTAAATTAGGCATTATTGTCGATAACACCTATTCAACCTCCCCTAGGTTGAAATACATCTGTTTCAGCATCCTTTTCACTCTCAGCTTCGTCCATGATTCGCCTCATTTTCTTGGTGAGCTCCTACCTATGCTCAACATTGGCTCAGATTAATTAGAGTATGAGCTCAAACAAGCTTCTATTGTATCGAACTTGAGCTGAATCCAAGTTGCTTCCTTTATTTTAAAGCCCAGATATTTACTTTTTCTTAAGGAAAAAAAATGCTAGAGTTTAAGGCCCCATATCTACTCTTTCTTAAGGAAGAAAGTGCTAGAGACCCTCTTGTCTTTTCTTCTTCAAGAAAGAAAAATTAAGCACAAAGAAGGAACAAGAGTATGGACACAATGCAAGCAACTAATATAGAATCAATAATTTAGTATAGTGGCCTGTTACATAAGTAAATAATGTTGAGAAACAAATATGGCAGTTAAACATATTTTGGATCATGCAATCTGGGCTACAGAATTGTCGATTACCAGGATCACGGAGGACCAGAACCAGACGTGTATGAGGAATGCAGCCAGGTTTAGGTCAATATGGCCTATAAAGGGGGATTAACTAGTTCGACATATGAATGAATACCAAGGTCTAGTATGAATCTTTAAGTAGTAATATTATTTTCTCTACCTTAGGTGTTAGGACATTATAAAAGGAAATCCTAAAGCCATTATAGAGTCTTAAACGTGTAAACTATACTAATCCAAAATCAGTTTTGAAAGTCAATTTAATTTGGTACATGCATATCAGAAAATTTCATTCCTAACAATGAAAGTATGAGATGTAAGATGCAAATACTATGTACGGAGGTCCATGGTCAAATTGGCCCAATACATAGACATTATATACTATAAGAGCTTCATATGCCAAAGACCAAAAGAATAAGTAAATACATACTCAATACACGACTCCTCAAGTTTATTTGCTACAATTGACACATTTGTCAGATCAACAATAGCAGCGTTGGCTCTCATTCCTGCTCGTTCAGAAAGAGCTTCTATTGAATTTATTGCATCATTTGGTTGGGATTTTAGTGATCCACGCTTTAGCTTTTTCCGGAAATCAGCAGAGAGGGCAATAGTTGCAGAAAACACAAAAGTTTGCCTCTTCTTTCTTTGGAAGCTCGAAACTGTCACACAATTATCTGTACTCTGAGAATGCCCTTCAATTGATCCGGCGGTAACAGGAAGCATGTCAATTATGGACCGCAACTCATGAAAATGACCATTCTCTATCATGCGATCAGCCTCATCCAGCACAAAGAAGGACAATGAATGCAGCTGCAACAGCCAAAATGTGAGACAACTAATTCTGGTCAAAATTTTCTGCTTAAGTGATATAACACTTGCAGATGGGGGAGTGCGTTGCTGCTGGTCCTTGAAAACATGGAGAAAGAATGGTATAGGCACACAAATCTACGCTCTATACGTGCATAGGAGTGTACGATCTGGTCTCCTTTTAGCCTAATCACATTGTTACGAGTGAGAGAATTTGTGCTTTAATGCAAACATAATGTTCTAAGAAGTTTGCTGAAATAAGGTGTGCTAATGCTGGACACAAGAATCAAGGATTCAAGATGTTACAGAAATGGCAACAGCTGCAGCAAGAGTAGTGCCAGGGACTTGGCTGTGGTAAAGCTGGTGATGTGAGACAGTAGCTGTGTTACCTAACCACAGGCAGAGGTTTGTATAGTGATTGCACTGGTAATTATAAGGTGTAGGCTGTATTGTAGGAGGAGACACGTGATTAACTTACTGTGTTCATGCAAAGATTGAATACAGAATTGGCAACAACAATGACAGGATTAAGACTATAATAGTTGTGGTGACAGATTTGAGGTTTTCTTCCCTATTTTTTTTGAAGGGCCAATGGATCCTCGTCCTCACTGCAGCTTTAACCTTATATCTTCAGCATTAGGTACACGAGATAGGACCCAAGCTAACAGATATGATGAAGCTCATGGCAAAGTCTAGAAATATTTCTATCATATGTGCCAATTATCGTTGTTGAAATCATTTAATATTCAATTCCACCATCATTCTACATGGAATTGCCAAGCACAAAAAAGCAAACACTACCAAAAAACCTAGTCCTCAATTTATTTCTCTGCCTCATCCTTATTGCCATTAGTCTATGGTGGTAATGTTTTATTGAAACTTTACCACCCTCGGAATTTCAACTCATAGCGAGTGTCCCAGGAAATCCACATCATCAAACTCAACCATTCCTAGACCATTTTTCATTTTGTGCAAAAAAAAAAATAATAATGAAAGGTCTATTACATGTTAAAACATGCACATGCAACTTCACAAATGTCAAATAAAAGAGTTTTGAATTTTGTTCCACAGAATTTAATCAGCCAAATATATGAGGGGGAAAAGAGAAATTTACCTAATTGCTTTCGCAAGAAAGAACGAAGGTTAAGGTGTGATGGTTGCTCAAAACAACTTGTCAGTGTACAAAGCAATATAATTGCACGCTAACAAAATGGTAGAAATGAACTCCCTGTATATGCTTTATTTACAACATGCATAACACTAACCTCAACAAGATGAATTTCTCCACCTGACATAAGTTCCCATAGCCTCCCTGGAGTTCCAACAACAACCTCAGGCCTTGTTTTCAGAAGTCTTTCCTGCTTTTCTGTTGACATGCCACCAACAATAGGAACCACCCTTATATTAGTGCCTTTGGCCACAACTTTGAGATGATCAGTGACCTGGAAAAAGGGTGCACATTAAGGACAAGAAAAAATCAATAACAAGGACAAAGAACAAAGTCTAATGAGCAGAAGAGACAAGCCATGAAGTGGACCAGTTAAGTCTAATAAAATCGGCCTGAGCAGCATAGTCAGTGAGACCTGTAAATCTGCACAATACTTATCTCTCTGCAAACAAACCTTAGTAATTTTTCATAACTCACCAGGCTTGAATTGGTGCTAACAGTACTATAACCAGCCAAATTAGGCCATTTCTGGGCCTTTCTTTTTTTTTTAATTTCCCAAATAGCTTCCAAAAGCAATGGAACAACTTACTAACACCATAGTATTAAATACGGCATGGTTCAAAAATCAAAATATTGGCCAATACTGATACCTAGTTGTATCTGAATTGGCATCTTTCGAGATGATACTGTTACACAATACATAGAAACCCCGAGTCTCACACGACTCGACCGAGTTGTATCCGAATCAATCTCGAGTCGCCAAGTTATTGTTACCGAATCAACCGATACAATTACACAACGTTGTGGCATGACCTAAATCTCTCATCATGTTCAACATTTTCTTTTAAGTCGTATCGCCCAATACCACCCCGCGACGCTGCCACCGATATGTCTCAGGGCTCTCCGAGTCAATGGTTGATACCATGACCTTGAACCATGAAATACCGGCAAGCAATAGGAAGTATGGCAACATCATGAAACAATGTTATTACAATGCAAAAGTCTCATAGTAAATGTCACATCATGACACAATAGGAAATATGGCAAGCAGCCCCTTTTATTGCTGCTAAGCATAAAGTGACCAGTCAATTTCAACCAGCTCCAAACATAATGCAACAGCCACTTATACTAAGTGCACAAATAAGCTCACGCCATGATAAAGGAATATGAAAAGAAAAGCTGCCATCCATGTTAATTAGATGTGATGCAAAGTGAACTGAAGAAAACCAATAAAGCAGTTTGAAATACCTGAAGTGCAAGCTCTCTAGTAGGAGTAATAATCAGGGCCCGTAAAAGACCACTTGAAGCAATTTTTTCATCCGCCTCTCCATTTTCAGCAAGCAGCGTGTCAGTTTTTTCTCGTTCTTCAAGAAGACGTTGCAAAATGGGCAAACCAAAAGCAAGTGTTTTTCCAGATCCAGTCTCTGCAGCACCAGCAACATCCTGTCACAAAATTTGACCAGCACTAATATCATACCATATGTTGTCATTAGTCATTACTCTTTATCACCTTATATTAGTCATGAAACTAACATTCTCTCATATTTAATCCAAAAAAAAGTGATGAGACTAACCTTTCCTTGATGAGCAGCTGCAGGAATGCAAGCTTTCTGTATAGGTGTTGGTTCTTTGAACTTCAGCCTGTATATTGATTTCATGAGTAGGGGATGAAGTCTCAGTTCATTCCAAGAATAATATTCTGTGTCATCAACTGAATCTCCATCACCATCATCCTTGCCCTCGGCAACTACTGTAATAGTTGCACATTTTTGTACGAAACACCTCTTTTAGAGTCAAATCAAATTCAAAGTACAAAGTATCTAAAAACTTCACCATTTTGATAAACCAATCCATACTACTAGTTTGGCAAAGAATAAATCTCTGCTTCCCCAGAAACCAAGTGTTCGAATTACACACACATCCATCAGTAAAATGTGATTGAATTTGCGATGACTCAACTACAAATTATTATAGTACCAAACCATTCACAGGCACAGCTATGAGATGTATCACAACTGTTAAAAGACTTTCAACGGGTGCATGGATAAACATGCATTAGGTGAAGTTTAGCACCACCAAGCACAATAGGAGTTAGCAATGCACAGACCTTGATAAACAAAAGTACCCCTTCTCAAAATGTCCAAGATTTAACATTACCCTAGTAAGTTTAACATACTGATGCCACAATATATATTAGTAAACCATATTGATGCCAAACTTTAACCAATTATACCCAACATTCCAACATATATTAATGATTTACCAACCGTCACATCAACATGTTCAAAGCTCAAACTATGCCAAACACCCACAAACACAATTTCAAAATGCATCAAGATCCTATAAAAAAAAATGCATCAATATTAGGCACAAACACTTTTCAAAGATTAAGTCATATGACCACATTTTAGAAATCAAAAATATTAAAATTGGTTTAGCAAAATGCTAAATTTATAGTATAACTCTTACCAGTTGCTGTTGATGCAGTTTCTTCAATTTTCTTCTCCTTCTTTTTCCTCTTCTTCTTCGTGGTCTTCTTGTTCTTCTTCTTTCCTTGCATTTCTTCCTTTTCCCTCTCCTCCTCCTCCTCCTCCTCCTCAACCTTCTCTTCAACCTCACCACCAGACCCAACATCTCCATCGCCTTCACTTCGCTTCCGTTTCTTTGATTTCGTCTTCTCTTTCAACCTATGCTCGTAATTTTCTCTCTCCGGTTTCAGAACTTCTAACCCGTACTCCGATTCATCAATCTCTTCAAGTGTTAAAAATCCTGCATTCATACACATCAATCAACGTGAAAGCTACGCAACCTTAGCCTCCATTTGATTATGAATTAAATACAAACAAACATGCTCAATTTTTCTACATTGCGGACAAATTATTCGAAAATCTAAACAATAAAAAGCAAACACTACGAAAAAAAAAGGGAGAATGAAATTGGTTTAAAGAGAAAGACCTCCTTCGAGTTCGCTTGGGCCGATGAGGAGAGAGAAAAGGTCATCGTCGTTGTCGTTGGGAAGCGAGGAATTCCATGGGAGTGAGTCGAGCCGTTCGAGTTGTTCCGAGTCAACTCTGGTTCGCTTTTTCGCCTTCCTTGAAGGCTGAGAAGCCATGATTGGTTAGAGATTCGTGAGTGAGTGAGAGACGACAGAGATCGTTTTTTCTTTTAACTGTAGAGACGACAGAGATCAACTTAAGCAAATTTAGGGCAACTAGCAAGTGCACACGAACAATTTTAAAATCACAATATAATTCGTATACGATTCACACGACTCAATCATTTTTTTTTTTTTTGACAAAACAATATTATTTTATTCGCTAAACAAGAAAACAACGTTGTTTTATTTGTCGAGGAACTCATGCTCTAATAAAAATTCAATCTCTTTGTTCGTTCTCTCTCCTTGACATCATTTAAAGCTCGCCTTGAATTGTCTAATGTTAAAAATTATTATTAACGCTTTCGCATCATCGATTGATTTTTACTCTCAATTCTTTATTGGGTAATTTGTTAGGTTCTAATTTTTTGTTTCAAAATATTAGTCTATATATTTTCTCCCAATTAATTTTCTTATTTTTTTTTTCTATTTATATTTGTAACCCTATCTATACTGGGTGTCACTATTTTGAGTCTTGAATAGCCATGATTCTTTAATTAATTTTTTTTTTCAAATTGTTGGATTTGAAAATAGTTAAGCAAAAGATGAAAATAAAACAACAAACTAGCGTTTTTTTATTTAGACGACGTGATTATGTCAATTGATTATTTTTAAAATACAATAATATTCAATACTCAATATTTTGTCTATTTTAAAAATGTAATATTTTTTTTATTTTTGTGTCAAATTTTACGATTCACGATTCTCAAATTTAGAATTTTGATTCACGATACGAATCACAATTTTGGTTGCGTACAAAAGAAATATGATAGTTGCAATTAAACCGAGCTAATATTGTTATCCAATGACAAGGAAGAGGATTAGAAGCAATAGAAAAGCACGGAAAAAAAATGTTAATTGTTAAAACTATTACTCGTCATAGAAATCACAAGACCAATAAGACACACATCCTCAAATGCAAGCACTCAGTTATATCTAACCTTTTAGTAATGTATTCACATTCAACACTATGAATAATAAAATCCAAGTATATGTGGAGACAAATTGTTGTAGCTGAACAAATTAGATAACATAGAAATATCTTTCCAGCTAAAATAGAATGGATGACACTCCCATCCAAAGAAATTAGACCTCTAATCCAAGAGGTAAATTGATGCAGGCTTCTGATTATGGGTACTATCGATTGATCAGTTTTGATCCCATCGAAAAATGTTGTCAATATCTATTGTCCATGATTGGGAATAATCCATTCCAAGTAATTATAAACATTCACAATTCGTCAAATAGGTCAAAAGAAATGATTGGTAATAATGTCAGCATAGTTTCAATTATATTTTTCGTGGGACAAAAGCCCATCCCTCCAATTCTAGGTCGAATGATGTATGCCCAACCGAACAAGTATTCTTAATATAACAACATAGATTCCGATAAACAACAAAAATGTTGTGAAGGACCAGATTCAATTTCTAACATGGTTCTTAAGTGGGAACAAGCAATATTTGACTACATTGCATCTATGAATAGGTTACATGTTGTCTGTTAAGAGCATTATTACCTAGATCGTGGGTTGTTTTGGTACATGTTACAGGTACGGGTACATAGTACAACACTTTTTTGTATACGTGGTACGATGAAAATAAGTTTACCTAGTACGGTATTTTGGGTCGCAATTCGTTTTAAAACTCTTATATAGATCGTTTTCACTACATACAACATTATATATAACAAAACATTCATAAACACTAAGTTAGTTACCATTTATCTTATAATTGTACTTTATTTTTTATTAACTAAAAAAAATATATAATTATAAATCTACATAAATGTAGTTAATTAATATGTATTTTATAGTTGTACTACATGTTCTAAAGTGAATTGATTTAGTGTTAATATTTCAATTTGGAGTTGTCAATTTTGATGATCAGGATCGCAAATCCACCATGTTTTGGATCGATGTACCTAGATCGTGGGTCGTTAAGGGTTTAGTGAATTGTAATAACCATAGTTAAGAGCCTACTGAGAGATTGTGAAACAGCCCTTCCAATTGTTATGTCTTCAAATATATACCAACCATTATATAAGATGCCAGTTTTAATGGTTTATGGTAGAATTATGCGTTACCACTTGAATAATCCATGATGCAGATACAAATGATCAGTAGGCATAAGTCCTCCAACAGCTTTGTTTTTTCTTCAGAAAGTACAACTTTTTCTACCAAGTAATGCCCTTATAGAACCATGGAACATCATAAAAAGGGCACACTTCCTTACAAATTCACTCCACAGTACAAGAATCTATCAAATTGTTTAATCACATGGATAGACAAAAATCAAGAAGATCAGATGTCCTGCTCCATACAAGGAAGCAACCTTTCAAAGGAAGCATGATAGCTTAAGCACCTAATAGTCAAGTTCTATGTCCTTTCATCCTTTGTAACCTTATAATTATCAATATGTTGAAGTCACTAATACAATCTAGATGCATAGCTATGCTTCATAAGAAAGTTGAGGGTGCATCTCTGGTTCTACGACTTCCCACACCAACTTCTGAAGAGAAAAATCTCCAGAAAACTAAAATTATGATTTGAAAGGACCAACAACAATAGAGAAGCAAACCAATGGACGACTTGAAATTCATGAAATTCCAATTGCTAAGTGATATATTAATTGTAGATTGGAACACTAATGTAGATACGTTTTTGCCTGTGAGAGAAGGAAGAATAGGAGTACATGAAAAGGTTTTAGTTCAACTTTAACTGATGTCTAGATTCACAAGTTTTTGTACCGTTACATATAAAGAAAGTTGATTGTGGCTCTAAGTTCCTTTCTCTGTCCTCGAGTTGATCTGCTTGCTTCTCGACCACTACTATAACCTGGTAATCAACACTTCTAGGCTGATTTGCATTAAATTGGCAGAAAAACAAGGGCGGAGAAAGCAAAATATGATTGAATTGTCATCAGGTAAGCGAAAAACACAACCAACCTGATATGCTAACATTGGAGGCAGAAGTGGAAGTATTTGTCGACATCCTTAATACCCCAACCTGATATACTCCTTCGCTGGCATTCAAGAAAAAAGGTCTACGAATTGGTGAAAACAAGGACCAAACACACACATTCACAAACTGCTGATCAGTATTACCTCAATTCTTGTTCTGCACTACCTTCTAGAAAAATATTATTGTTTCACACTATTGATCTCACTCTTAGTTTTTTTTTTTAAATGAAAGAATTTCAGAAAATTAGATATGAAAGTTTGAAATTTGGCTGAAATTTAAAGGAAGGTTTAAAAAATAAGAAAATTCGGGATGTTGAGCCCAGATATCAAATTTTGGATGATTCAGTCAGACTTTCCACCATATACTGGTTGCATATGAGCACTTACTCCTTCAATTTGTTTTCTATTAATATTGGTTGTTTTCTTGCATCATATTGTTTGGGGGATAGACTTACTCAGGCAAGCTAACAACAATCCTTACGGGAAAAAGGAAAAACAAAAGACTATTTGACCGGGTAAAAGGGTACTCTGTGTTCTTCATTTAGCTTCCTGCCCAGGGAGAACCTCATTGATTGCAAACTTGGTAAGTAGGCAAAGTGTGCAAGTGAAGCACTTTTTTCTTTTTATTTTTTAGACAACTGCAATCTCCAATTTCAACTCTGTATCAAGTGTTCTCCAACTAATCCTTATACTTTTTTCTTGAACACTTTTTAGCAACCACTATTAAAGATATACATCAGCATTTTTTTTAAGAACTTCTTGTTAAACAAACATAACCAAAGAGATCATTTTAGGAGATTTTGAAAGATGCTGAGTTTCCTTTATTTAGTGCCTATTTTCTTGGGCAACAAACGTGTTTTGATGAAAAGAATCCAATTTGCTGATTTGCCAAAAAATCGTTGAACAGAACTAAGAATGCAACCAAGTTAAGCAATTTCTTCCATTGGATCCATTTTGAGGCGACTTTCTAAGATTTCAGGAAGTTAATGTCTCTAAAGTTGTATTAAAATTTTAACAAGTGACACTGAATAGGTATCAGAAATTTCAAGGCTTCAAGTACTGACTGACATGTCATGCTATGGAAAAAACCAATGCCAGAGAACTATTGAAGGACAGATTATTGAAAGTATAATAGAAGAAATAGAACAAAGAATTCCACCAATTCAACAATCCACAAAAGTCTTCAACTAGAAGAGAACTAAAACCTATCAACTCAACAGAGTTTTGTCTAAGCCAATCTGCAACATGTCCAACATTTTGGAGTGTAAAAGGTGTTCCTTTTAAAAGTTTCCACAATAAAATCACATTTTTTTTTCTCTAGCACCCAAAGAATACACCTTCATGGCACATATCTAAGCATTGTTAAAATCCATAATCTCCAAATCAGATATACGCACACACTCACACACACAATAAAGATATACACTGAGAGGAGTTAGACAAATTAGAAAGTTTTCCATAAAGTAATCGTACATCCACTCATTTTGTGCCTCGACAATTCAATTTGGGGAAAATTCAATTCATTCAATACTTGAACGAATTCAATGTACATTGATTGAGTACCTCTTTTGAGCAGCACACTATTGGTTCCGTGACGCCAATACACACGGTGTGTTTGCGCTTGATTTTCTCTACTAGAGATCAATTTTTCCGGTGTCCATTATGGTGTTAAAATAAAAATCTGGGATGTATTTGCAGCCAAAAAAATCTTATAAGAGATATCAAGGGAAGAAATATACCAAGAAATACATGGTTGGTTCCATGACGGAGTGTTTGCTCGCAATGAAGAGGGAGAAAACATCTAGAGAGATTCAACTTCCAATTTCGAGTGCTAGAATTGGGGAGATACAAATCAATTACTATATAGGGATTACAACTTCATTCATTACGTCCATACAGAGCCAGGGTAACAGATGTTGACATGCCGTCAAGAGATACTTGAATTTGTGGAGTAACGCATGCACAAAGAGAGAGAACATCCAAGGTTTCTAGGATAGAAAAATAAAGGAGAGAAAGA